ATTGTTGAGTCATATGTAGTTCTTAGTTTTTTGGAACTGCCACACTGTTTTCCATAGTGGCTGTACAATTTTACATTAGTATCAGCAATGGATAAGGGTTCCAATTTCCCCAAATCCTCACCAACATTTGTTATTTTCTTTTTCATCTTAGCCATTCTACTGGGAGTGAAATGGTATCTCAGTGTGGTTTTGATTTGCATCTCTTTGATGGTTAATGACGTTGAGCACCTTTTTATGTGTTTGGTGGCCATATGAATGTCCTCTTTGGTGAAATGTCTATTCAAGTCCTTTGCCCATTTTAAGACTGCCTTTTTGTTGTTAAGCTGTTGAAGTTATATACATATATTTTGTTGTTAGATTCTTGTTGGATATATGTTTTCCTAGTCGGTAGCTTGTCTTTTTACTTTTTTGGTACAGTTTTTTGATGAACAAAAGTTTTTAAAATTTTTAAGAGGTCTCATTTATTTTGTCTTTTGCTGTTTGTGCTTTTGTAATTATATTAGATTATCCACTATTCAAAGCTAGGCCCAAGAGCCTTGTCCCTGCCTTTTATTCTAAGGATTTTATGGTTTTGGTTTTCACATATAGGTCTTCAATCCATCTTTAATTTGTTTTTGTGTATGGTATGAGGCATGGATCCTGTTTCATTTTTCTGCATCTGGATATCCAATTCTCCTAACACCATTTACTGAAGAGACACTTCTTAACCCATCGAATGGACTTAACACCCTTGTCAAAAATCAGCTGACCAGAGATATGTTGGTTTATTTTTGAACTCTCCATTCCATTCCACTGTCTACTGTTGTACCAGTACCAGGCTGTTTTGATTACTATAAGTAACCAAGTAGCTGAATAATATGTTTTAAAATCAGGAAGTGTGAGTCTTCCTACTTTGTTCTTCTTTTTTAACACTGCTTTAGCTATTTGCGGCCTCTTGCCTTTCCATGTAAAGTTGAGGACTGGTTTTTCCATTCCTGTAAAGAGGGCTGTTAGAATTTTGATCAGGATTGTGATGAATCTATAGATTGCTTTGGGGAGTATTGATATCTTAACAATATTAAGTCTTCCAATCTGTAATCATGAAACATCTTTCCATTTATTTAAGTTTTCCTTAATCTCTTTCAGCAGTGTTCTATCATTTTCCTTGTATAAGTCTTTCACATCCACGGTTAAATTTATTCCGAGGTATTTTATTCTCTTAGATGCTAAGAGATGTCTTAGCTTTTAGGCTTATATGTTAGTCATCTAGTGCTGCTGTAACAGAAATACCACAAGTGGATGGCTTTAACAAAGAGAAATTTATTTCTTCAGAGTAAAGTAGGCTAAAATTCCAAATTCAGGGCGTCCGCTCCAGGGAAAGGCTTTTTCTCTCTGTCGGCCTTCTCATCAATGTTCCCTCAGACTAGGAGCTTCTCTGCGCAGGGACCCCGGGTCCAAAGGACACACTCTGCTCCTGGCACTGCTTTCTTGGTGGTATGAGGTTCCCAACTCTCTGCTTGCTTCCCTTTCATCTCTTGTAAGATAAAAGGTGGTGCAGGCCACACCCCAGGGAAACTCCCTTTACATTGGATCAGGGATGTGACCTTAAGGGTGTTACAATCCCACCCTAATCCTCTTTAACATAAAATTCAATTACAAAGTGGAAGACAACCACACAATACGGGGAATCATGGCCCAGCCAAATTGATACATACATTTTTTGGGGGACATAATTCAATCCATGACAGATGTCTTAGGCTGGGTTCTACAGAGAAGCAAAACCAGTGAATCATGTGTATATATATATGGTATCATTTAACGTGTCCCTATATTTCCTTTCTTTCCTACAAACTAGAAATTAACTCTTGGCTCAGTCAGATTCAGACAAGAATTTTGGCAAGAATACTTCATAGGTGACCTTGTTTATTTCTTATTGCATCACATGAGAAGAAACAATGTCAGGTTGTCCCACCATCAGCAATGCTAAATTTGTTCACTAGGTTTAGGTGGTGATCACCAAATCTCTGCTGCAATGTATATTTCCCCTTTGAATTAGAACATATAAATACCCTACTCCTCAGCAACCTTTTAGCATACACTGATAATCTTTGTCTAAATTATTACACTGGGAGTTTAAAAATAGTGATTTCTGAAATCTATCATTCCTTCTACATTTATTAGCTTACAGTCTTCTAAAGAGCAGAAGAGCTTTCCTTTATTCCCTCTCTCCCCTTTTTAGTTTATTATCACTATGGATGCATGAATTATTGTTATTGTTAAATCTATTACCTTCATTATACTTTTTGATGCTCAAATTGTCCCAAATTTGACCAGTGGAAACTCTGTCAAGCTGGCTCCTGTGATCTTTTGACATGACCTCATTAGTCTTTGAGTACTTCCTCTGGGCATCTCTGGTTTTAAGATTTGTTAACATGATGTTTATTTGCTTAAATCTTTGTAACTACTGCCAATTGGTTTTAGTTCTACTTTTTGCAGCAACAGAACATTTTACTTGTCCCCTTTCATGTAGAATGTTCTGTTACTTAAACATATTTGGGTTGGAACAATTCTGTGATACCACTAACAACGCCAGTTTAACCAGTTGCCAGTGAGTCCGTTCTGACTCATGGCAACGCATATGTCAGAGTAGAACTGTGCTCCATAGGGTTTTCAATGACTGATTTTTCGGGCATAGATCACCAGGCCTTTCTTCCAAGGTACCTCTGGGTGGACTTGGACCTCCAACCTTTCAGTTAGCAGCCAAGCACATTAGCCATTTGCACTACCCACGGACTCTCACTGATATCATACAAGTACATAAATAATTTAGTCTCCTCATATGCACACTTTATACTTAATTCTCACTTTAGGACGTCCATCATTACTTGATTCAATTTCTGAAAGCTGATGAGTTTAAAGGTTTGTTTTCAAGGTTTCATCAGAGTGTTTCAATGTCAAAATGGTTGCATCAATCAATCATATTACATAGATCAAATAACATGTTTGTATTAGGTGCCATCGAGTCAGTTCTGACTCATAGAGACCCTATGTACAATAGAATGAAACACTGCCCAGTCCTGCGCCATCCTCATGATCATTGTTATACTTGAGCCCATTGTTGCAGCCACTGTGTCAATCCATCTCATTGAGGGTCTTCCTCTTTTTTGCTGACCCTCCACTTTACCAAGCATGATGTCCTTCTCCAGGGACTGGTCCCTCCTGATAACATGTGCAAAGTATGTGAGACAAAGTCTTATCCTCCTTGCTTCTAAGGAGCATTCTGGCTGTACTTCTTCCAAGACAAATGTGTTCATTCTTTTGGCAGTCCACAGTATATTCAATATTCTTCACCAGCACCACAATTCAAAGGCATCAATTCTTCTTCGGTCTTCCTTATTCATTGTCCAGCTTTCACATGCACATGAGGCAATAGAAAACATTATGGCTTGGGTCAACCACACCTTAGTCCTCAAAGTGACATTTTTGCATTTTAACACTTTAAAGAGGTCTTTTGCAGCAGATTTGACCAATGCAATGTGTCATTTGATTTCTTGACTGCTGCTTCCATGGGTGTTGATTATAGATCCAAGTAAAAGGAAATCTTTGACAACCTGAATCTTTTCTGTTTATCATGATGTTGCTTATTGGTCCAATTGTGAGGATTTTTGTTTTCTTTATGTCGAGGTGTAATCCATACTGAAGCCTGTGGTCTTTGATCTTCATCTATAAGTGCTTCAATTCCTCTTCACTTTCAGCAAGCAAGGTTGTGTCATCTGCATAACGCAGGCTGTTAATGAGTCTTCCTCCAATCCTGATGCCGTGTTCTTCTTCATATAGTCCAGCTTCTCAGATTATCTGCTCAGCATACAAATTGAATAAATATGGTGAAAGGATACAACCCTCACGCGTACATTTCCTGACTTCAAACTATGCAGTATCCCCTTGTTCTGTCTGAACGACTGCCTCTTGATCTACGTACAGGTTTCTCATGAGCACTGTCTTGGTCATCTAGTGCTGCTATAACAGAAATACCACAAGTGGATGGCTTTAACAAAGAGAAATGTATTCTCTCACAGTCTAGTAGGCTACAAGTCCAAATTCAGGGCGTCAGCTCCAGGGGAACACTTTCTCTGTCAGCTCTGGAGGAAGGTCCGTGTCATCAGTCTTCCCTTGGTCTGGGAGCTTCTCTGCGCAGGAACCTTAGGTCCAAAGGACACGCTCTGCTCCTAGCACTGCTTTCTTGGTGGTATGAGGCTCCTGTGTCTCTCTGCTTGCTTCTCTCTTTTATATCTCAAAAGAGATTGGCTTAAGACACTATCTAATCTTGTACACCTCATCAATATAACCACCACTAATCTATCTTATTACATCATAGTGACAGAATTTACAACACATAGGGAAATCACATCAGATGACAAAATGGTAGACGATCATACAATACTGGGAATCATGACCTAGCCAAGTTAACAGATATTTTTGGGGGACACAATTCAATCCATGACAAGCACTATTAATTATTCTGGAATTCCCATTCCTTGCAATGTTGTCCATAATTTGTTATGATGCACACAGTCGAATGCCTTTTCATAGTCAATAAAACACAGGTAAACAAAATAACATACCATTTTATTTATCATTCTTATTTCTTTGCCAGTATGGTTAAAGTACACTGAAGGCAGAATAAATCCGTGCTTTGTAACTCTGGACAGGGAGTATGAAATGTTCACTCACTAATATAATAACACAACAACAAAATGATAATTAAAAAATACACAATAATAAAATATGACTTTCAAGTATTAAGAAAGCAGAATAGGAAAAAAAACTATTGGCTAATATGTAGTCGGTTATGTAAGGCTTTTTGAATGATGTGAAAATTTGACATTTCTAAACAGAAATAGGAAAAAAACATAAAACAAATGAGAAAGAGAACACCATGCAGGAGAAATGCTAAAAGCAGAAGTAAATCAAATTAGCATGTCACAGAAGTATACCAATCATTCAGAAGGTATCCTACTTACCTTTATTTAAAAGAGGAAGGAAGTCAGCTGCTTTTTCCTGGAAAACTCTTTGAGCATCCTCAGCTTTCATTGACACTTCCTTTGTCTGAACTAGGAAAAAGCCTTTACCAACCATCTGTAGAAAATAAAATCTCCTTTAGATTTTTAAATAACTTCTGAGATTAAAACAGTGTTTTCCTATTTTAGTGGTTTTATGTATAAAACTCAATACAGCATGCTGATTTTTGTTTTAGTTATGACTCTAAGGATATTTACTGTAACAAGGTCTCATGTACATGGGGTTCTTTCTTCCAAATGGGTGGTTCTAGTTAAGAATAAAAAATACAATGCCAAGTGTTACTATTAAGGATCAAATAAACCTGAATTATCTCTCTGTTATGTATTAAACTGTATCCCCCAAAAATATGTGTTGTAAATCCTAACCCCTATACCTGTGGCAGAGAGCGCTGGTGCGCAGTGGTTAAGTGGCTGCTTAACCGAAAGGTCCGAGGTTGGAACGCGCCAGCCATGCCGTGGAAGAAAGATGTGGCAGTCTGCTTTGTAAAGATTAACAGCCTTGGAAACCCTATGGGGCAGTTCTACTGTCCTATAGGGTCGCTATGAGTCGGAATTGATTCGACGGCAACAGGTTTGGTTTTTGGTTTTATACCTGTGGATGTAATCTCGTTTGGGAATAGGGTTTTCTTTGTTATGTTAATGAGGTCATGTCAGTGTAGGGTATGCCTTAAATCAATACTTTTGAGATATAAAATAGTAGATTAGGCTCAGAAGAACTTAAGAGGCATACCTCGTTTTATTGCGCTTCACTTTACTATGTTTCACAGATACTGCGTTTTTTACAAATTGGAGGTTTGTGGCAACCCTGCACTGAGCAAGTCTGTAAGTGTCATTTTTTTTTAACAGCATATGCTAATTTTGCATCTGTGTCACATTTTGGTAATTTTCACAATATTTAAAACTTTTTCATTATTATTATATCTGTTATGGTGATCTGTGATTAGTGATCTTTGATTTTACTATTGTAATTGTTTTGGGGCACCACGAACCACACCCACATAAGACGGTGAACTTAACTGATAAATGTTGTATGTGTTCTGACTGCTCCACCCACCTGCCATTCCCCTGTCTCTCTCCCCCCTCTTGGGCCTCCCTATTCCCTGAGAGACGATAATATTGAGATTAGGCCAATTAATAACCCTACAATGGCCTCTGAGTGTTCAAGTGAAGGGAAGAGTTGCACATCTCTCACTTTAAATCAAAAGCTAGAAATGATTAAGCTTAGTGAGGAAGGCATGTCGAAAGCAGAGACGGGCTGAAAGCTAGGCTGCTTGCGCCAAATAGCTAGCCAAGTTGTGAACGTAAAGGAAAAGTTCTTGAAGGAAATTAAAAGTGTTACTCCAGTGAACACACAAATGATAAGAAAGTTGAACAGCCTTAATTGTTGATATGGAGAAACTTTTAGTGGTCTGGATAGAAAATCAAATCAGCGACAACATTTTCTTAAGCCAATGCCTAATCCAGAGCAAGACCCCAACTCTCTTCAATTTTATGAAGGCTGAGAGAGGTGAGGAAGCTGCAGAAGAAAAGTTTAAAGCTAGCAGAGGTTGGTTCATGAAGTTTAAGGAAAGAAGCCGTGTCCATAACATAAAAGTGCAAGGTGAAGCAGCAAGTGCTGATGTAGAAGCTGCAGCAAGTTATCCAGAAAATCTAGTTAAGATAATTGATGAAGGTAGCTACACTAAACAACAGATTTTCAATGCAGACAAAACAGCCTTATATTGGAAGAAGATGCCATCTAGGACTTTCATAGCTAGAAAGAAGTCAATGCCTGCCTTCAAAGTTTCAAAGGACAGGCTGACTCTCTTGTTAGGGGCTAATCAGCTGGTGACTTTAAGCTGAAGCCAATGCTCATTTACCATTCTGAAAATCCTAGGGCCCTTAAGAATTATGCTAAATCTACTCTGCCTGTGCTCTATAAATGGAACAACAAAGCTTCGATGATAGCACATCTGTTTACAACATCGTTTACTGAATATTTTAAGCCCACTGCAGAGAGCTACTGCTCAGAAAAAACGATTCCTTTCAAAATATTACTGCTCATTGACAATGCAAGTGATCAACCAAGAGCTCTGATGGAGATGTATGTACAAGGAGATTAATGTTGTTTTCACGCCTGCTAACACAACATCCATTCTGCAGCCCATGGATCAAGGAGTAATTTTGACTTTCAAGTCTTATCATTTAAGAAACACATTTTGTAAGGCTATAGCTTCCATAGATAGTGATTCCTCTGATGGATCTGGGCAAAGTAAATTGAAAACCTTTTGGAAAGGGTTCACCATTCTAGATGCCGTTAAGAACATTAGTGATTCATGGGAGGAGGTCAAAATATCAACATTAATACAGGAGTTTGGAAGAAGTTGATTCCAACCCTCATAGATGACTTTGAGGGGTTCAGACTTCAGCGGGGGAAGTAACTGAAGATGTGGTAGAAATAGCAAGAGAACTAGAAGTGGAGCCTGAAGATGTGACTGAATTGCTGCAATCTCATGATAAAACTTTAACGGATGAGGAGTTGCTTCTTATGGCTGAGCAAAGAAAGTGGTTTCTTGAGATGGAATCTACTCCTGGTGAAGATGCTATGAATATTGTTGAAATACCAACAAAGGATTTAGAATATTACATCAACTTAGTTGATAAAGCACTGACAGGGTTTGAGAGGACTGACTCCAATTTTGAAAGAAGTTCTACTGTGGGTAAAATGCTATCAAACAGCATCGCATGCTACAGAGAAATCTTTCGTGAAAGGAAGAGTCAACTGATGCAGCAAACTTCACTGTTGTCTTATTTTAAGAAATTGCCACAGCCACCCCAACCTTCAGCAACCACCACCCTGATCAGTCAGCAGCCATCAACATCAAGGCAAGACCCTCTACCAGCAAAAAGATTAGGACTCACTGAAGGATCAGGTGATGGTTAGCATTTTTAATTAAGGTATGTACATTGTTTTTTTTAGACATAATGCTATTGTATACTTAATAGACTACAGTATAGTGTAAACATAACTTTTATATGCACTGGGAAACCAAAAAATTCGTGTGACTCACTTTTACTGTGATATTTGCTTTACTGTGGTGGTCTGGAACCAAACCCGCAATATCTACAGGTATGCCTGTAGACACAAGGGTAAGACCAATACTATCTGAAGGCAGCCTAGTCTACAAGCCCAGGAACCTCAAGGATGGCAGGCTAGAGAAGCTGAGACAAGGATTTTCCCCCAAAGTTTACAAAGAGAGCCTTCCCCTAGAGCTGGTACCCTGAATTTGGACTTCTAGCCTCCAAAACTGTGAGAAAATAAATTTCTGTTCATTAAAGCCATCTGCTTGAGATATTTCTGTTATAGAAGCAGTAAGAAATTAAGATAACTTCAAAATTCAAAACATAATTTAAAAATTTGACTGAAATGAACCAGAATAAAGCTTTAGTTTGGTGATATGTCAATCCAAATGTCCAATGAGAGAAGAATGGTTAAGTAAATTATGGTACATTAACACAATGAAATACCATGTTTCAATAAATATTATGTTTACAAAGATAAAATGGGGAAAGCTCATATAATAATGTTAATTTTAAAAAGCACGATACAAATGTATACAGTATAACATGATCGCATTTATGCAGCACTTACTATATGCCAGGTAGTTTTATGTAATTTATATGAATTAACACATTTAACCTTCTCACGAGGTAGGTACTATTATTACCCTCACTTTACAGATGAGAAAACTAAGGCATAGAGTGGTTAAGAAACCTGGCCAAGGTCACACAACTATTAAGCAACAGAGCCGTGATTTGACCCAATTAATCTGATTACAGGCTAAATACACTGAAAAATTATTCCTAAAAAGACTATTCAGGGGGACCTCATACCATCAAGAAAGCAATGCCAGGAGCAGAGCGCGTCCTTTGGACTGGGGTCCCTGCGCCGAGAAGCTCCTAGTCTGGGGGAACACTGATGAGAAGGCCGAGAGAGAAAAAGCCTTCCCCTGGAGCTGACACCCTGAATTTGGACTTTTAGCCTACTTTGACTGTAAGGAAATAAATTTATCTTTGTTAAAACCATCCACTTGTGGTATTTCTGTTGTAGCAGCACTAGATGACTAAGACAGAATTTGGTACCGGGAGTGGGGTGCTGCTCTAACAGATACCTAAAATGTGGAAGCGGTTTTAAAACTGTGAATGGATAGGCGTGCGGCAGTGACAGAGGACCAGCAGCAGCACAGAACCAACAGCAGCAGAATCAGGAGACCGGTGAAAGACAGTGCTGGAGCCGACCCACGGAGCGAGAGAGCTGAATGCCTGTGAGCAGGAGGCTCCCTGGCGGAGTGGGGTGCCTCTGGGCACTTACAGGTGGAGCTACTGAGCTTTGGAACACTTGCCCCAGCTGGGCAGTTGCAGGCGTGAGGCCCGAGGGCTGAGAGGCCATAGGAAGCAGAAGCTGAAGAGACAAGGGACACAAGAAGCCGAGCTGCTTCAGTCTCAAAAGTGGGCTAAAAACAGAAAAAGAACATGGAGGCAGATATAATTGCAGATCTTTGATCCAAGCTCAAAGAGGTTGAAGAAGAGCGACTAAGCTGCACAGTATGGTTTACAACTAGTGGAGAGCCAAAATGAACTGCAGAATCAATTGGATAAGTGTCGTAATGAAATGATGACCATGACTGAGAATTATGAACAAGAAAAATACACTCTTCAGAGAGAAGTTGAGCTCAAGAGTCGAATGTTAGAAAGTTTGACTTCTGAACGTGAAGCTGTTAAACAACAACAAAAAATGCATTCAGAGAAACTAGAAGAACAGCTGAGCAGATGCCATGGGCAGGAAGTGAATGAGCTAAAAGATAAGCTGGAAAAAATGAAAGCTGAATTAGATGAAGCTAGGCTCAACGAAAAGCAGCTGAAGCACAAAGTAGAGCATCAGAAGGAACTCCTCTCTTGTAAATCAGAGGAAATGCGGATAATGTCTGAACATGTACATGAAAGCATGTCTTCAGAGATGTTAGGTCTTCAAATTGAGTTGACTGAAATGGAAAATGTGAAGACCGCTCTCAAAGAGCA